TTGATCAGTTTAATTACTGAGAAAATAATCTTCTATTTTCTGAATATTATTTACAGCATTTTCACATTCTTTGTATTACAATGAAAGCTATTAAGAGAATCTAATTTGATTTCTATTATGATTTCTAATTATAGGTTGAATCATACATATAGTCAACTTTTAAAAGAGTCTGAAGTGTTGCAAACTGACCATAAAAATTTAAAAAGTCTTCTAAATAATTCCAAACTGGAACAAACAAAATTAGAAGCTGAATTTTCAAAGCTAAAGGAACAATACCAACAGTTGGATATTACATCCACCAAGCTGAATAACCAGTGTGAGGTGAGCTTTAACGTGTTGAATCACTATTTTCTCCTTTTGGCACCAAGATATGACTAAAAAGTAAATGATCATGGTGTATATATGTTCTACATATGTAGTGCATGTATGTATATACATATAGTGACAGTAGCCATATGTGGTTAGTATAGTATTTCTAAAAGAACTTGGCCAGGGGTAATTGAAAGAAATAATTAAGAAAAACATCCTGTATCATTAATTTCAACATTTTTTAAAATAATAGTTTAAACTTTAATATCTAGATGCTTTGAAAATTATACAATTATGCATGTGTTCAATGAAAAAAGGTTTACTGTACACCTGGCATGAAATTATAAACCAATAGAAAAAATAATTTGAAACCACATATAATTATTTATGCAATAAAGCTCAGAAACACAAAACATTCATTCTACTTATGATTTATAAAAGTCCAAATATAATTAGGTATACTTCCAGAATGGTAGAGTGGGAAACATGGCCAGTCAACTCCCTAAGAAACAACAAAATTGGATAGAACTGTCAAAAATAGCTATTTTAGGATTCTAGAACTCAACCAAGGCATAAACTACTGAGCTTTGGGGAGGAACTATGTTTTTCTGGGACATTTTATTTTGTGGCTTCTCCCATTCCCCTCTCCCTTACTTCCCCTCATTCTATACCTGGCAGTTATCACAGGACAGCAGTTTTGCTGCTAGAGGAGACATGCCAGGGAGAATTATCAGAAGTCAGCTCTTTGAGAGCATTTGGTTGGGACAAAGTATCAAAGCAGTGGGCTAGTTAGAAATTTAACTACAGGGTATCCCAAAGGTTGCCATATGTAGGAAAAATTAACAAACTCATTATATTTTATAATATGATGTCCATAGTTGACCACCTTCCTACATTTACTGCCTCCTTAAGTTTACCTAATTTTCATAGACTAGACATGCACCACAAGTACACATTAGTAAATAGGCCTAGTTCCTTATGTAGACCACTTTTGTATGTTGACCAGTTGATCAACTTAAGTGGTCAACTTACAGAGGCTCTACTGTATATTTTATATTTTTTATATTTATATATCAACACATAGAGAAACATTTTGTAAATATTTTGTAAAATTTTATAATGTATATTTTTTAACTAAAGGTACATTTAGCTGTAATTTCCCATTTCCCCTATATATGCATGTCTGGTGACCTTTGGAAATACCATGTAGAAGTTCCAAGAAGTGAAACAGTGGATCTTGATTAGGCCCCATATGTTATTGGTGATCTGGAAAGCTGCTCCGGAGAAACCAGACAGGGTGCTAGCTATCTACTTATCCCTGATTGATTGTTACAACTTGACTGAAATGTTAACCTTTGGCTGAGACTAAGTCATAATAGTGTGATTTGGAGGGGTGGAAAGATTAACCTGTGGTATAAGAGGTGGGGATTGTAGTTAACTTTGGAGGGGATAAAGATTGGAAGGTAACTCAGGTATTTCTAAAATACATTTAATGTTCAGTTTCTTCATCTAGGTACTGGTTTAAAACTCAGTGATAATTTGTTGAGCTCTATATCCACTTAAAATCTATTTTCTTTCTGTATATATATTTTACCAGTTGTCTGTTGACACAGTAATGCAGTTTAACAAACCACAGAACCTTAGTGTGGTTAGTAATGGACGTTAACTTTCTTTTTTTTTTTTTTTGGTCTGCTCATTAGTCTGTGACTCAGCTGAGCAGATATGCTGATCCACTCACTGATGTATGATCCAAGGATTTCTTCCTGCATCTGTAGTGAGCTGACAGGTCTGCTGGTGGTCTCAGCTGGGATAACTCTTCTCTACACCAGGAGGCCTCTCATTCTTCACTAGGGTTCCAGTAGACTGAGTGGAAGCACACAAGGCAACTCGAAGCCTAGGCTTAGAACTGTCATACAATCATGTCCTGCACTTTCTGTAGGCCAAAGGCATTCTAAATTCAAGAAGAGGGGAAATAGATTCTACTTCATGCTAGGAAGAGTGAGAAGTCATATTGCAAAAGGGTACAGAGAACAAATGCATTCAGTTTTTTAATGGATCTACACATATGTTACATTTCAATTTAACAATATGTAGATAAAACAAACATGGTACACATTGGCAGTTGTTGGATCTTGATGGTGGTTTATGGTTATTTAAGGTATTATTCTCTTTGATTTTCTGTACCTGTTGAAAATTTTCAAAATGTTTGTTTTCTTTCTTTTTCCTTTTTTTGAGTGGGTAGAAGGAGTATGTGTTGTTGCTTGCTTTTGTTCTTTTTTTTTTTTTTTTTTTTTTGAGACAGAGCCTCAAGCTGTCCCCCTGGGTAGAGTGCCGTGGCATTACAGCTCACAGCAACCTCCAACTCCTGGGCTCAAGCGAGTCTCCTGCCTCTGCCTCCCAAGTAGCTGGGACCACAGGTGCCCGCCACAACACCCGGCTATTTTTTGGTTGCAGCCGTCATTGTTGTTTTGGCGGGTCCGGGCTGGGGATTCGAACCGGCCACCTTAGGTGTACGTGGCTGGTGCCTTAGCCGGTTGAGCTATAGGTGCCGAGCCCTTTTGTTCTTTTAATGTAGAGTTCTGGGCTTTACTCCAGACCTGCTGAATTCAAATGCTGGGGTCCAAAAATCTGCACATGATGATGCTGAATTTTAGCCCTTACAACAGTCTTGGAAGATGGGAGCAATACTCATTTTATAGATCAGAGAACTAACTCACTTCTATAACATTTTATAGCTACTGAAAAAACTAGATATTTGAATCTCACTTTTTGGGACTGTAAGTTAAACAATTTTGAAGACTGTAAGCAATATTTGTGGAACTAGATAATTTATTATATACACATATCAGCAAATGTTGCTGAGAATTAAAATGTATAGGTACAGAATGTAACTCAGCTGTTGGCATCATTATCAGTAGAATAATCACATTCTCATGAAAATGCAATCATCTAATTGTTCAAATAGTGGCAGACGTAAGTCTTTGTGAAGTCTTTATGTTTTTTAGATGTTTCAGGTAATTTATGTTAAATGTAAATGTTTTTTGAAAAATGTTTGTGTTTAAACAGTTGCTAAGCCAACTTAAAGGAAATTTAGAAGAAGAAAATCGACATCTGCTAGATCAAATTCAGACATTAATGCTGCAGAACAGAACACTCTTGGAACAGAACATGGAAAGCAAAGATCTTTTTCATGTTGAACAACGACAGTACATGTAGGTACCAGATAATTTTGTACTCTGAAATATTACGATTTTATCCTTAGTGTGCCAGGTGGCATAGAAACTCACACTACTTTTTCTTGATTTTCAACAGTATTATTTTAACATACGTTTTTTAGTGCTTATAGTCTAGGCACTGTTAATAACCAGAAATACTAACATGAAAACATGAGTTTGGCTCTTAAGAAATTAATAATATAAAGTGAGAAATACAAATAAACATGCAAATACAATAATTCTATAATGGAGGTATATGTAGGTGGCCATAGGGAAAGGAGGGGTACCTTAGTCTGGGAGAGGCAAACTAAACTTTCTTAAGGTGAAACGAGCTGAGACTCAAAGGTATAATGCAAGTTTGCTTGAGGAGGCATGCCAGGCCACGAGAGCAGCAGTGGAAAAGCTTGGAGGTGTGATAAAAGTATGTTGTGGTGTGGTATAGGACAAAAAAATTAATTGTTCTTGCTGGAGCAAAATTGAGGAAGAGGGGCCAGTATAGAAGGGGCTAAACAGTCAAGAACCAATTCACAAAGGTTTTTCTTTGCCATAAAAAGAAGTTAAGATCAAACTACAAGAAATACGATATATAGAGAGATTACGAGAGAGAGAGAGAACAGGGCTTTATTAATTCACTCTCCATTGAGAGTGGAAGAATCCTCAGGGATTTGGGCCTGAGCAGCTGAGTGGGTAGTCTTTGTATTACACAATTTACCTTTTCTTAGTTCCTTTTCTCCCCTTGCCTCATAAATGAGGATGTATCACAGCAGAATACAAATAGTGTAGTTGTTGAAATTAGATAGCTAATTCATATCTCAGTTCTTCCATTGACATAGCTGTGTGACCCAATTTGAGTCACTTCATTTCTTTGATCATTAGTTTCTTCTCTAAAATAAAGATAACAATATCTGCTTCCCAGATTATCCTAAGGAGTACATGAAATAATGTGTCTGTACTTTTCAGACTTAATGTAAATGTTGGTAAACCAGGGCACGTGTGAGATTAGGATATGTTATACATTTTTCTGAAGCATCAATTTTATTACAAAATTTGGGGGCAGGGAACATTATTTCTGTAGTAACAGGTATATTAGGGAGCAAACAGCAGAATTTGCATAAACTATTAAGATAAATGCGAAACCTCAAATTTCACATTGGTGGCCAGCCACTTTGGGCTACACCTTTAGTCCTTTCAGGGGTATGTATTCCTTTACTCTCACCTGTTGTAAGAGGTATTTTAGGTTAAGAAGCACTGAGTTTATATAAAGGTCTTGACATTTCAGGCTGTACCTTCAGCAGAGGCATTATTCAAAGTCTTCATATTCTGACCCCTGGTGACTAATGCATTTCCTGGGTGTCAGTGATTGTGTCTATATAATTGACTTGTAAAGGTTATTTTAATCTATTCTGATTTATTGGATTTAAGTCACAAATATCCATTTTACATGTCAGACCTTTCTAGCTGAATGCCTTTATCACATGCTCCCAGCAAGAGTGACAAGTAGATAGTGCTGAGAATTGGGAGGCTGCTAATGGCAGTGGGTGAAGAAGAAAAGAGTTGAGACCTATGGCCTTCTGTATTACCAACATCAACTTTTCAACTGTCAACTCCTCCATAGGCTTCAGGTCCAAGCAGGTGGTTAATAATAAAGATAGAGGCTGGCTCACGCCTAGAATACCAGTACTATGACTATGGGAGGCTGAGACAGGAGAATCACTTGAGGCCATGAGTTTGAAACAAGCCTGGGCAACATAGTGAGACTGTGTCTCTACAAAAAAATTTCAAAATTAGCCACGGATTGTGGTACAAGCCTGAAGTCCTAACCTAAAGCAAGAGGATAGCTTCACCCCAAGAGCTCAAGGCTGCAGTGAGCTATGAACACAGAACTGCACTCCAGCCTGGGCAACAGACCAAGATTCCATCTTTTAAAATAATTAATAATAATGGTATAGGCCACCTGCTGTTTGTACTGTGGGTATAACTGTTCACAACGTTTGTTCACAAAGCATCTTCTATAGCAGTAGTACCCAACCTTCTTGGCACCAGGGACCGGTTTCATGGAAGACAGTATTTTCCCTGGATGGGAATGTGGGGGTTCGGGGTAAGGTAGTGGACATTAGATGTTCATAAAGAGCAGGCAACCTAGATCCCTTGCATGTGTGTGGTTTATAATAGGACTCCCAGTCTTATGAGAATCTAGTGGTGCTGCTGACATGACGAGAGGCAGAGCTCAGGTGATGAGGAGCAGCTGTAAATACAGTTGAACCTTAGCTGGCCTGCTTGGCACTCACCTACTGTGCAACTCTGTTTCTAACAGGCCATAGAGTTGGGGGGGCGGTGTTGGGAACCATCTGTATAATCTCTCAAATTAGCTCCTCCCAGTTCCCACTTCCCTAATGCAGCCTTCCTCTCAACTAGACAACCCTGTTCGCCTGTTGAATGCTTTATCTCAAGCCTTTCTAATCCTATTTGGTCATTCATTTACAATACCTTAAACAAAGATTAGTTGCAAATCTTTCAATATATCTGATTTCCTTCTGAGCAAAACCTAACCCAAGATGTCCTCACTGTTTCCCCTGAGCCTACATTCAGGCTAAACTACTTAAAAGTAGCATTCTTTTTTAGCCATAAAGGAAAAAATGTATTTGCATAAAGCATAGTTGCAAGGTTATTATATATACCTAATAGCAAATAAACAAAATCCCTAACATTTTTTATACTTTGCTTATATAAACTATAATAAATCTCCTTCCTTCCTTCCAAAAATGATTTGACATACTAATGATCCAAGAATGGGAAATAACCAATGTTGATATAATGCTTGTTTAATAGCTGTAGAAAGATGGTGTTAGAGGACCCATATGTGACAAGACTATATGGAAAAAAATAAATCATACTGAAAAAAACTTTAAATCTTAAATTCCTTTATCTAAGTAACTTGTAAATTTAAAGAAAAAGAGAAACTTGGGAAATACTGCTTTTTTTTTCCCCTGCTGCCTCGATTTCCTGAGTAGCTGGGACATTAAGAGCAAGCCACCACACTTAGCTAACTTTTCTGTCATTTTAGAGATGGGATCTCACTCTCATTTCGATTGGTCTCAAACTCCTGGACTCTTAACAATCCACCTTCCTTGACCTCCCATAGTGCTAAGATTACAGATGTGAGCCATTTTTAATACCTAATAAACTCTTAGTTGTCAATCATGGTATCTATATTTTTTATGTTTTGAGGATAAGTTAGATTATAATCACAAAATAATATAATTCATAACTATGCAAAATAATTATGTCCTAAAATATAATTTTTTTATTTATATAGTGATAAGTTAAATGAATTAAGGCGGCAGAAAGAGAAATTGGAAGAGAAGATTATGGATCAATACAAATTCTATGACCCATCTCCGCCTAGAAGGTACCATTAACCAAATTTTATGAATTTTTAATTTGAAAAAAGTTACGTTATTGCTAATATTGTAAAGACCTCTGATTTTGTGACAGATTTATATACTGAATTTTAGACTGATAAAATTTTTTTAAATGTTATTAGGAGAGGCAACTGGATTACTCTAAAAATGAGAAAATTGATAAAATCTAAGAAAGATATTAATCGGGAACGTCAGAAATCTCTAACATTAACACCTACCCGCTCAGACTCCAGTGAAGGATTTCTTCAGCTTCCCCATCAAGATAGTCAAGATAGTTCTTCAGTGGGTTCAAACTCTTTAGAAGATGGCCAAACTGTGGGGACCAAGAAAAGCAGCAGTGAGTCCTTAAAATCTTTAAATACAGTATTGATTTTGAAACTTTCTAAAGATTTCTTTCTAAAAACTTTCAACAGTCCTTTGGGGGAATAGTCTGGTGAATGGAATTTCTTTTTAATTCCATATGATTGTAAAATTAATTGCATACTATAATAGCATACAACCACATTATTTTTTCTGAGATATACCGTATACAGGGATACCATCATTTGGCCAAGGGGGTAAAGTATTTTATAAAGAACCTTAAAATAGGAGCGAGAATACTTCTGCGTCTGATAGTTCTGTTAATATGGGCAAGTCTTCCACCTTTGCTTCATACTTCACAGGGTGATTGGAAGAGCAAGTGAGAAATATGTATAATATTTCATTTTAATAATTATCTATAACTTAATCAGAATAAGGCACTTTATGATGCAGTTTTTGCTCACATACTTTGGTGTCAAATTGGAGCAAAGTTACAGGGAAAAGCAAAGAAAATTAGATATGAATTGTTTTTCAATGATTCAGAAATAACTGAAAGTTAAGAAAAGTATTGAGGGTTTGTTTCATAAAGGATCAATTATAATAAAATAGGTGGAGGATAAAATTTTTGTGTATGAACTTATTTAATTCTTTATTACAAATTTAGAAGTATCACATTATAATGTTTCCTATATAATTCATAGCCTTTTTGTTTTGTCACTGGTATTAAACAGTAAGAGCAAAGTAAAAGTTTAAAGAAAAGTATTTAAACAGGATACTTTGCATCCTTTTAATTACCAGTGTCACTAAATTAAAAAAAAAAAAAAACCATACATACCATTTTTTAAAAAGAAATAGAAGCTAAATACAGCTCTTTCTCCCAGGGGTTGACTTTCCATATGGGCAACCCCCAAAGTACTCAAAATTTTGGCCCCAGGTGAATTATGTCTGAATAGACAATATTTTTGGATATAGGACATTATATACTATGGTGTGTATTTCAGAATGCAACTATAGCAGCAAAAATCTACATATGCACACATGTACATAGGTATGTATGTTAGTCTCAAGAAAGCAATTTAATACCATATTTTCACATAAGATTATTACACTGAGTCTTTTGCTGGACTTACCCGTAAGCTAAATCTATATACTTAATTTTTTTTTTTAATTAAAGAAACGTTTCAGCCGGCGCCTATGGCTCAAGTGGCTAAGGCGCCAGCCACATACACCTAAGGTGGCAGGTTCAAATCCAGCCCAGGCCCGCCAAAACAGCAATGATGGCTGCAACCAAAAAATGGCTGGGCATTGTAGTGGGCGCCTGTGGTCCCAGCTACTTGGGAGGCTGAGGCAGGAGACTCGCTTGAGCTCAGGAGTTGGAGATTGCTGTGAGCTATGATGCCACAGCACTCTACCCAGGGGGATAGCTTGAGGCTCTGTCTCAAAAAAAAAAGAAACGTTTCAATTCAGATACACTAGCACAAACAGGAAAGGCACAACAGTCTTTTTAAAGAACTACTTCTCTGATTAAATATAAATTTGTCATTCTTTCACATTCTCTATTGAAATATCCAGAACAAGAATCAGAGGGAATATTCTCTTTTTCTGCAGTTGTTCAGTTTTAGAATTTTAAAAATAAACCTAAAACCCAATAATACTGTGCTCCCTTAATTTCAGTAAGCTTTGGGAAATGAACAGTATATATCTACAAACTAACTGCCATAAGAAAAAATCATTCCAACTTGAAAATTTAAAACTGCTTTTATCCTGTCCATTTTGGAAGAGTATGTGTCTGTCTTTGGGAAACAGTTGAAAACAGAAACAAAAAGTATCTAATTAAGACATGTTCATCCTGCAACCACTCAGGTTTTTTTTAGCTAAGTGTCCATTTTTTATATTGCTTTCCTTTCTTTTTTATCATTGAAAACACCTGTGTTTACCAAGTTTGAGAAGAAATAGGTCAAATTAAAAGCTTAAATGAATCCTGATTCTTCCTAGTAGTGATCAAACAACTTAAAAAGCTGTCCATTATTGTTTCATTATGAATGGTGCTTGTCAATTTGTCAGAGAGCTTTGATTATTCGCAAGATGATAGTGAACCCTGAGAAAGGGCAGAGCTATCAAGGCTGTGTATGTTTTAAGTCCTTATGCAAGTTATGTTCTTAACTCTTAAATTACATTTCTAAAAGGTATGATAATTTTTATATTTCATACTAAATGTAGCTTAAGAAGTATTTCTAGTGAACATTTTTCTGTTTGTTCTAATGACTCCTGTACTTGAGTGATAATCTCAACTTTTATTCACAGAACTGAACTCATTCAAAAAGCCCTTCAAAATATCTGAAAATGTTATACATATTTTTCTCTGATTTTTGCTTGCTTTGGGGTACCTCCTTATGTTTTAGCTTTATCAAAGCTTAGTGGTAACATTTATTACTACTATCAAAGTACTCTTTTTTCCTCTTTTCCCCAGTCAACTTTCTGTAAAATGACCTTACTATAATTTTTTTTATCTTTAGAAAGACTTTGGTTGAAAGGATGTATGTTTTCATGGTGCGGCTGAAAATGCACCAGAATCCAGTTTAAGAGCAAGAAGTAGTCCCTTATTTTCTTCATTAGAGTCTAAAAAAAAAAAAAAAAAAAAGATGTTTTTAATGTGATTCTTTAGATTGTTTTAAACATCCTTTGGGCACCCCAATTTTTGTTCATGTATGTTACTAAAATACTGGTAAGATATGTATTTTCCTAAATTATTTTTGTTTTCCAAAATAAAGCCTTGTAATTTAAAAGGTTAAAGAAAATAGAGGCTTGAAGAATCCTGTATGTTTTCATCGTGTACACTCTGACCCACCAATAACCTTAATTTTAAATGTTTACCTTTATAATTTAACTTGGAAAATTGATCCCTCCATATGTAATTTCTAAACAGGTCATACTTTCATAGGAGTGTAGCCAATCCAAGCTTTCAAAGTATATGTTCCTCATCATTGTCTTCAGTGCTTTTCCAAGTATTTTAAAGTATCAAAGTACATATTTCATATTTCATTATCACTCAGCAGCATGAGAATAATAACTTTAATATAGCATACATAGCTGAAACTCAAACATTCATTTCTGTCCTTAATTTCAACATTTAACTCCCATCTGTTCTTCTCCCTTTTTTCTTTCATTTCCCTGTTTCTGTTTTTCCTCATGCTCTGACATTAAAGTGGTTGCACTGAAAAGACTGCCCTTTTTGAGGAACAGACCGAAGGATAAAGACAAAATGAAGGCCTGCTACCGTCGTTCCATGTGTAAGACTTTATGACAGTTCAGCTTCTTTCAAATGACTACACTGGCTTTCATTACTAATTTTTCACTAACCTTTCTCTGGACTGTACCAATTTCCTTATTTTGCAAAGTGCAGTCTTCCTCTAATACAAGGAGCTGGAAGAATAGTTTTTTCAAAACTGGCGCTAAATTTGCATTATATGTATGTCCACTGATACATATATATGCATATGTTTAGTAATACATGTAATATACTTGTAAATTTCCAGTGCTTTCTAAAAGTTGGCAGAGAAAACCCCTTAATTTTATATGCCATAGAGATTTTTTTCCCAAAGAAATTTACTTAAGGAAGAAAATATAACAAAACCTTTAGCATTAGGAAATTTATTTCCTTAATGAATCAGATTAAATAAATAAAATGGCCTATAACCCTTCAAAATGTTTGTCATTCTTTATATAATAATATCTGGTCTGGGTTTTCTTTTTTTAAGTGGAGTGGGTAGTTAATTATATTAAATGTCTGTCACTTTGGATATCATCTCTTTCAGGTTTTTATTGAATGGTATACTTAATTTGATTCATAAAATGAATAATTCTTCAGTAACCTGCTCTGACCAAGGACTCTTTCATTTTCAATAATGATGCTGTATAAGAACTGCTCTCCATCTTACCTTTATTCATTCCATTTTTGTCATCACAAAACCACATTGTGAAGGCTTCTAATTATATCACACATCACTGCGCAAAAGCATGGCAGTTGTACATAGTAAAATTCCTTTCTTTGTCTTTTATAGGGGGTGGAGGTGGGATAAAAGTATGTACAGAAGTTTATCAGCCTTTGGCCTATTCATTTCATTCAGCTGAATGCATGTCATAATTCAGATGACCCGTGGTTATAGTTTTTGATATCCATTTACATTAATTCATAAACAAAACCCAGATCATTTATAATACAAAATAGATTTAAAAGCAAATACATTTACCATGCTGATCATTTGCTTTCATTTGCATCCCAGCCATGAATGACCTGGTGCAGTCCATGGTCCTAGCAGGACAGTGGACAGGTAGTACTGAGAATTTGGAGGTTCCTGATGATATTTCAAGGAGAAAAGAATTGGGAGCTATGGCCTTCTCTACTACAGCCATCAACTTTTCAACTGTCAACTCTTCTGCAGGCTTCAGATCCAAGCAGTTGGTTAATAATAAAGGTATAGGCCGTCTGCTATTTGCACACTGTGGTGTAACTGTTGGCAACAGGAATTTTAATTTGACTTTCCCCTATGTCCTTTTCTAAAAGCAACAACCTGAAATAATTATCAAAATTTGGTCTGTGTTTGATTTGGGGGAATTTTCAAATCATTTCAAAAATTTAAAGCCTTATACAAATAATTAAAATCTTTCCTAGGCTTCCTTTCATAATAAACAGCTAATGAACTAACAAGAAAAGGAGAAGTAAACCAGGTAAAGGGTGAAAAAAGGAGGGAGTGATAGAAGTTTTTTATAAAACTTACGAGCATTACATCTTCAGAGAACCACATAGAACACCAAGCTCTTGCTTTGCTTTTTAGGGTCACGGGGGAGGTTGTTTCATTACTTCTGGTGTTTTACCCAGACAAGTGAACTCTCGTTAAGAGTTACTCTGTTCTGGCTCGGCGCCTGTAGCTCAACCGGCTAGGGCGCCAGCTACATACACCTAAGGTGGCGGGTTCGAATCCCCAGCCCGGACCCGCCAAACAACAATGATGGCTGCAACCAAAAAACAGCCGGGCGTTGTGGCGGGCGCCTGTGGTCCCAGCTACTTGGGAGGCGGAGGCAGGAGACTCGCTTGAGCCCAGGAGT